CTTTGCTGTAGTTATAACCTTCACAGGTACTGAAGTTCAGGTGGAGCTCTACAGAGTTTGGAGTTATCAAGCTGTTTCTGGCTTAGGTCTGGCTGCTGTGCTCAGCTCCTTCCCGCTGCGGACCTGGGCTAGGATTGGGTCTGGGGGTTCCCGGAAGTCGGCAGAAATTCCTACTCAGCGGGAGGGGTGGGGCAGGTAAGGTGGAGTGGTGGGTGGCGGCCCGAGGGGGTGAGAGAGGGTCCTGCCCACGCTGTGCCTGGGCTGGGACTGGTCCCACGGCGCAGGGTAGCAGGAAGCTCTCCACACACTCACCGTACCTGGGCTAGGACTGGGTCTGGGGGTTCCTGGAAGTCGGCAGAAATTCCTTGCAAGTGAACTTTCTAACTGAGAATTGATTACTGTTAGTCCAGAGAGTGGAGTGGGTGACATTTCTGTTTCTGCCACCTCTTAGCAGATGACCTGTCATGACTGAGTATGATACCTGGGGTCTTGGTTACTTTTCTCTCATACTTGAGACAAAATACCTGACACCCAGAGTTAAATGGAGCAAGGTTTATTTAGCTCACAGTTTGTAGAGGTTTAGTGTGTACCTGGCTGGCTCCAAGGTAGAAAGGCTTGACAGAATGCAGAAAACTATTCAAGATAACCACAAGGTAGCAAAAGCAACAAAGAACCTTAACAGTCTCTTTCTCCCCCTTTGACACTCTATTTAGGCTGCCAGGACTAGGGTAGTGCCAGACCAGTCAGTACACTGACCTGCTAACCATTAGCCTTAATCCCTGCATTGCATCATGATTCAGCCACACAGAATCCTGACAATGCCTTCTTCAAGAAATAGATTCTTCCCCACCGTGGCTGCTTCTCAGATGGGGCTGAATAGGAAACTGAAAGGAGGCGAAGCGACCAACTTTCCCTCTCCAGAGGAAATTGTATTGATCCAATCAGAAGATCAAGTGAAGGAACCAAACAGAAATCTGTTATGTTTTCCATTGCTAGGTAATGTCTTTGTATTTTAAATGAGAAATACTACCTCACACTGTTTTAAGACAATGTTGTGAAACAACTTAGGGGGACTGCTAAGTCCTGTACTTAACTAAGTTCTTTTTGAGTTGAGCTTTATAGAGCCTACTACCAGAAAAAGCTTATTTCTAGTTTTCTGCACTAGCCATCTGGTCTAGTTATGTTAAATGTGCAGTTGCCCCTGATTTTTCCACATCTTACTGCTCATGTAAGGCAGAAAGGTGATAACCTTCTCTACAGAGATTGTGTCCCATTAGTTCTGAATTGGCAAGTTGTTTTTGGTAAACCATATATTGTCCTTTGACTTGTTTGCTCAGAATTGGAGACCCCATTTTCCCTAAAAGCAAAAGACAAATGTCCATATTACTTCATTTTATTCTTTATTCATTAATTAAAACTTCTAGTATCCTCAGATTTGAGACCAAAAAATTGAGACACAGAGGTTAAGTGGTTTATCTGAAGTAGATCTGACTGGTTTCCTTTGCTTATAGAATGATTTGTTAGGTCTTTATGGAAGAAAAATATCTTTTAAATATCTTTCATTTTACCAAGATATTGAACCATAAAAATGGTTTTAAAGAATTTGTAGAGAAGAATGAATAGAACTTGTCTTAGTTACTCTTGTTGTTGCTGAGACAAAATACCCAACACCCAAAGTTAAAGGAGAAAATGCTTATTTAGCTCACAGTCTGTAGAGGTTTCATTTCATGATTCTCTGGGTCTAAGGTAGGGTGGCATGGCAGATGAGTATAGCAGCGGAGAAAGAGTTCATGGCAAAGCAAACAGGAGACAGTAAAGCAGAGGAGTAGCAAGCAGTAAACAGCAGCCCTCTTTCTGTCCCTTATATTTTATACAGGCTACATGCCTTCTTTGTGGGGAACAGTCATACCCAGGGAAGGCCTTCCCACAATCCACTCCAGAACCTTGTCAAGCTGATCGGTGAACTAACTTAGTAATTACACACCTTTGATCCCAGCATCACACACCTAATCTCAGTACTGCACACGCTAGATCCAGCAGCTTCTATGATCACATGAGGCCTTGGCAGGAAATCTAAGCACAGGCCATACTACTTGGATTTAATACTGCCTCACAGGAGAAACTTTCTGATTGCCCTACTGCCACACAGGCTATTTGGATTAGGAAAATTTAGAAAATTTCTCCAAGGCCATAGGACCTCCTCTAGGGGTTCCTCCAGCAGGGATCAAAATGTGAAAACCCAATCATTTTTCTCCCTCCTGGCATCTAGTTCAGCTATAATAGGGGCACTGAATGAATTCTCGGCATGCTTCTAACATATGGAAAGAGGATTCAGAGCACTTGCTTTCCCGAGTCTCCTAGGCCAGTATGATTTACCCTTTGCTCAGTGCTTCCTTCACTCTGTGTAACACAGATGACCTCAGCAGGCCTGGTCGGGGTTAACCTGGTCGCTCCTTAGGAGGGATCCTGAGACCTTGGGGTTCCAAAAGAGAAGATCTGGGGACTTCTTCACCAGAAGGTGATGCTGCCTTGCTCACAACTCCTGGGACTAAGGGCCTGGGATGGTGTCAGACAGTCCAGGTCTGGTCAGGGTAAACACGAACACAGGAGATTATATTAGTCAGATTTCCTGTTGCTGGGACAAAATACCGTATATCCATGGTTTAAAAGGGTAGAGGTTTACCTGGCTTACATTTTCCAGTGGGTTCAGTCTGTGATTGGCTGGCACTAAGGCAGAAGCACTATGGTGAAAATGGCTGGTGGAAAACACTGCTCAGCCTATGGCAGGAAGCCAGAAAGGAAGCAGAGAGAAGGATGAAGAGGAAGGGAGAGGGAAAGAGGGAGGGGAGAGAGAGCAAAACTGAGCATGAATGAAAATGAACCAGGGACCACATTATACCCTTCCATGTCACAGTGCCAGTGACCTAGCTTTTCTGAGCATCCCCCAACAGCATATTCAGCCATGAACTCATTAACAGATTTATCCACTGATGACTATAGCACCCCCGTTCAGATTATATTCCAAACACATGGCACTTAGAGAGCTATTTTCTTCTCTTTTTCTTTTTTTCTTTTTGTAGTTAGTACAAGGTCTCACTACATAGATCAGACTCCTAGTGATCCACCTGTTTTCAGCCTCTCAAAACCTGGGATTTCAGGTGTGTACCACCACACCCAACCTCAATTGCTGTCTCAGTGTGCTCCAGGTGTGGGGCTGGCATGGCTTGTGGTGCCAGGGATCAAGCCCCGGCCCCTGCACTCTGCCTAAACAGGTGCATTAGTCCACTGAGCTATCTGGCTGGCCCAGGGAGGTATTTTCAAATTAAACCATAATAAAAGTGCAATCATTACCTGGGAATCAGATGGGGTAGGGATGTGTTGGACTAAGAGAACTAGAGGGAACTATGGGAGAAAGGGGACAGGAAGGAAGGGAAAAGGAAAAAAATGATATACAGCTAGTTTCTCTTAGTTCAGTGAAAAAAAGTTCAGCTAATACAGTTTGGACAGTATTTCATGCCTATATCTTGTACAATGAAGATAAAAATACACAATGTGTTAATTATTGTTACTCTACTAATAGACTTTTTATTGTTCTTTTTCTCTCTTTTTAAAAAGAAAATTGTAAGATAACACGATCTACTCCTGGGGTCAGTGACCTGCCTGGATGGACCTAGTGGACCCAAAGTGTTATATCTAGGAGCCAGCAGCCAGAGACCAAGAGGAGGGAGAGAAGAACCACAGGTAAGAACAGGAGGGAGCAAGGCAGCATCAGCATGTGGAATGGGGAGTCAGCCATGTGCACCAATATGCTGCGGGAAAGCAAGCCCAGGACCCACTCTCCTGGTATTCGTAGAGAATAAAAGGGAAACAAAGAAGGAAGGTTTACTGCTCTTTCTCCAGAGGAGCTCCTGTCTTCACCTTCACCTTAGACATCATCTTCTGGCTTCCAGGGTAGGCCCTTCAACCTTCCATCACAGACTTTTCAGCTTCCAACCCAGATCCTTAGGCCTCTTCTACACAGGGCACTACCGTGGGCTCCAGGCCTTTGACCTTTTGCCTGGATCCTTCTGATTCCAGCATGCGGGTGCCCCCTGTACACTCTTACACACCCAACTCTGTGGGTCACCAATAGAAGCCTAATATAGATAGATAGGTAGATAGATAGATAGATAGATAGATAGATAGATAGATAGATAGATTCTGTTTGTGTGGTCAGCATTGACTGATATAGCCATCAAGCTTAGAAGCATAGAGAGTGGAACTGAAGAGGCAGTTTAATTCTGGGAACTCAGGAAAGACATCCCACACACTAGCCTCACAAAGGGTCTCCATGGAAGTGAAATGTGACAGTGGTGAGGTCCTTCAGCATGATCTGTAGAGTATCAGCCAGCTCACTCACCAAAGGAGAGAAAAAGACAGGCCAGGTTGGGGAGGACCCTGAATACTGAGTACTATAAGAACCTGGCAGAATAGAGCCTGGAACTCATCAGTCATCAGCGTCTGGGGGAAGGGGCCTAGAACTTCAAGGACAACCAGAATTAGAGAGGAAACCACCAGGAAATGTGGACAGTCCTGCAAGCATCATCACTGATCCCTGCCCTATGCACCTCGGCAGGCAGGGCTTCCAGGATAACCATACTGAGATACCCAGGAAATACTAAAGTCCCTGACAATTTGGGGGCAGAGGCCAGAGGCAGGCTGGACAACTACCAGGCCACTCAGAAATATTCCAGGTTCTGCCACCTTTTCACCAGGATTCCATCCCTGCCCAACTTTCTCCCCTCTTTAAGCATGGAAGACTAGAGGAAGTGGAGAAAGCTGCTACCCGAATTCTCACTGGACCACAGCCCTTTATCCAGTGACTGTGCAGCTCTTCGACCACTTCTCCTTTTTCCTAATTAGGGGATGTTAATATGTGAGACACTTGCAGAACCGTTTGCTTTGGCTGCTCTCCAGTGACTCTGAACCCTGCCTGACCTGAATCCCATGGGTTTTCATTCCACGAACATAGCAAACTTCTACGAATACCCCTAGACCCAAAGAAGCCCAGAGAAGCCTCACTAAAACTGCCCCACAGAGGCTTCTGGCCCACAGATGCAAAGCAAATAATATCCCTTGGGGTATATGTGTGTGTGTCTGTGTGTGTGTGTGTGTGTGTGTGTGTGTTCATGCAATATTACTGAGAGGCTAGACAAATGGAAAGCAGGCAATCTATAACTGAATGCAGCACAGCCTCCAGGGACCCTACTTCATAATTAAACACATTAGACTCAGATGTGTAGGAGCAAGGAGCTTTATTCTTCACTCCACCTGAATTACATTTGCTTGTTGCTACCTCAGAGTCCAACAGGCCTTGACTGATGATACTCAAGAAGGATCAAGGTTCCCCGACTGGGCACAAGGGATGTGGTGTGTTAGATGAATCACCGGAATAGCCAGCACCCTCCAGATGGTGTCAGGGAAGGACTGGCCTGTCTTCTGGAAGCCCATGCTCTGGTAGAGGCCCAGAGCACTGTGATGCCAAATGGTAGTGTCAATGACAACTTCCTTGTAGCCGTGGTCCCAGGCAAACTGGAGGAGAGGCCTCACCAGGGCCTTGGCTATCCCCATGCCTCGGTGCTGCTTGGCCACTGAGAGGTGAAACAGCGGCAGCTGCTTCTTCCCTACAGGAGGGTTTCTGGCTGGCAGAGTACTGACTGTGCCCACCACCTTGCCCCCAGACTCAGCCACCCAGAAGCAGGAGTCGCACCCACTAAAGTAGGACTTGGGGATGTCATCCATGTCTGTGCGCAAGAGGTGGCCATTTCTTTGTCCCAGGGATAGTTAGCAAGGAGTCTCAGGAGAGCAAGAAGGGTGATGCTAGACACGACGGCCAGGAGCCAGGAGCTGAAGACCAGGAGTAGGGCGAGAGGCACCCCAAGTCATAACACAAGTGTGCGGGGCAGCATCAGCACGTGGTGGAAGGTGTCAGGATGCGCTCTGTTATGCCGCTGGGGAACAAGTCCAGGACCCATTTGTGGTCCCTCTCCTGGTACTTGCGGATGTGATAAAGAGCCATGGGGACACTTGTGTCTGAAATCTGTGTGTCCACTAGAGTCAGCTAGGTCTGCTTGCGCACCTTCTCTGTAGTCCTGGGGAAGGGAGAAGTCATGTGAGTTTCTCTGCTCCCCAGGCCTCTTCTGAACCTTGGAGACCCTCCTCAGTGTCCTGTCTTTCTACAATCAGGTGGAACCAGCTGCTTCTTCTTTCTAGCAAATACCTGAAAAGTCACACAAATGGATCCTGGACGTGTTCCATAGTGGCATACTGAGTTGTCCCTCACACCTTCCACCTGCTCTGTGCTATGTACTCTTGCTACCTGTGTCTTGTTATCTATTAATCAATATTAACTGAGTAAACATACTTCTAATCCTATAGTAGTCCAAAGCAAGGTAATCTTGATGTGATTTCACTGTATAAAAGTCTGCTAGACAAGTAGCCTCTGTGGCAACTCACTTTGGGGACTTCTCCTGCCTCTCAGGGACTTTCTTTTTCTTTTCTTTTTCCCATAATTTTATTGAGAAACAAATAGCAATGAAACAGTTTCAAACCAAATTGGTAGGACAGTTTCAATAATTTTTTTTTTTTTTTTTTTCAGGAAAGCGCTTATTCTACTGAGCCATCACCCCGGGCTATTCAGGGACTTTCTTTAAGGGGACATTACCTACTCTTCTCTTTTTTCTCAACTCCATTCTCTGGGGTCCTGAGATGCTAATTCAGCACTTCTAACAGATTGGGAGCTACTTTCCTGTAACACAATGTGGAAAAATGGATACAGAAAGTGTCAGAATGATTCCTATTGCAGAAGAAGTACAGGGAAAAAAAAAGAAAAAGAATTGAAGGCAACACTGGAATGCATCCCTTTTCAGTGGTGAGATTACTAGGGGATTGTTATAGTTCTCTATGATAAAAATTGTTGTGTATACTTTGAATTTTTCACACAGTGCATACCCAACCTGAGTACTTACAACAAGGAAAGAAAAAAAAAAAGTGCGTTTTTAATACAGCCAGGGAAAGAACGCTTAGAGAACCTGTTCAGAGTAATGAGCTCAGACTAGTAACGTCAGAATCGCAGTTGCTTACTCCTATGATTCGTGCCCTGGAGAGCTCAGGCTGAAAATTAATTCCCATTAGAAGTACTTAGAGGTGCGACCTATAAAATGGGATCAGGACTTCGGCTTCATAGAAGCATGATTTATCTCCAGAGAAGAGCTGTAAAATCCAGTTTGGCCCCGTGACCACAGGTACACACACCTCTTGCCTTGGAGCACCCTAAGCAACCTCCCTCAGCCTTTGTCGTTTGTCAACAAGGCCAGCCCCAAGGCTGCGCCCGGACCTTGGACCAGCAGCACCGGCCCACATAAGCTTCCATCTGAGATCCTGTGTTACTTGCCACAGGGCGCGGACTCTGACACCTCCCACTCTCAGGGCACGAGCTAGGCGTCTGTCCAGGGAGGCAAGGGCGCACCCCAGGGAAACTGAGGTCCCTGCCCAAGGTTCGGCCCCCACTCCCAACCGCGCCCTAAACTCACGGTCGAGTCGTGGTCTGTCCTGGCGGATCTCCCTCTCGGAAGCAAATCCCAAGGCTTGTGGAGGTGGCGTCCAGGCCTGCCCTCCCGGAGCTCTCTCGCCACTGTGGTCAGGCAGCTCCGGGTTACCCAGTCCTTCCAGATCGGTGCGGTCCCAGAGCTCGCCCCCAAGACCTACTCTTGTTACAGGAAGGAGCGGGGTAGGGGGCAGGCTTTGCCCGCTGGCTTTGTTCTTAACCTGTGTTGTGACTGGTGGGAGACAAAATCAGTTTCTCCCTCTGCAAAGAAAATCGTTGACGAGAGGAGCTCTAGTTACACCTCTCCTCCTCCAAGATTCATAGTTCCTTCTCGGGCAGGAGGGATCTGTTCACTTCTTGCTCTCGTGGAAGTCTCAGAGGAACCTTAGAGCCAGCTGTGGCCAATGATTTGCTTTTGGGACTTAAGAGACTGTGATAGTAAGGTAGGATAGAAAAAATAAAGATAGGTGTTATAACCCAAAAATCAAAAACTGGACTCAACTTAAAAGCGCTTTATTTAGCTGAGCTCGGCGGCACCTGCTCTCCTCTCCAAGTGCGTGCGTGCCCAGCTGAGCAGAGACAAGGGCGTTTAAAGCTGAAAACCGCAAAGCAGGAGGTCTTGTGACTTGAGCGGAGGGAATGCAGCACAGGGGCCAGCATCCATTTATGGGAAACAGGTTACATTTTTTAAACATGCGGTTACAATTTTCAGGAACAAATCATAAATTTTTATGGCATGGTATTGATCACAGGATGTCACAAAAAGATAGGAGATCATTTTGGGAATGGGGAGTTATCCTTACAACAGGGAGTTATTGCCTTAAGATATGGGACTGATCACAAGAAACTTTGTGAATGGGGAGTTGTCCTTGGAACAGAAAGTTATTTTAGGATATGAGGCTGATCACAGGAAACTTTGTGTAGACTGCTTTTAACAATCTGTGCCTCAGAACAAAGGAATATTTTGAACATTGGCAAAACTGTTCAGAGGCCAGACGGATGGCTTGAGCCACAAAGATGAAGTCCAAGTTGTCAGCCTATGCCAAACAGTCCTCGATAATAAAGTTACAGTGGAAACATACAGAGGTGTATAATAGAATGGCTATTCTGGTTACAAAATGGAGTCAATCACGTAGGTTGTAACAGAAATGTACAGAGTTGTCAAAAATATTGTGACATTAAAATGTTAATTATAAGAAAACTGCAGCTTCAAGATGTGGTTATTCAAATCACAATGTCTTTTTCACACCTATGCTTGTTTTTCTTCCTAAACTACTGAGAGCTTTAGAGACACAATAAGGTCTAGAAATTTGCCTTGTTCTTTTTTCCACACTATAAATCTGTAAATGCCAAAGACTTTCACACTTTAGAGATAGTGTTATTAATCAGAAACCATGTCTCCGAACTTAACACAAATATGGTTTGTATTTTAACCTAGTTGATGAAGTCAGTAGACTTTAGCTGGCTAATGAGCATCCTGTCTACCTGGGAAATGGACAAGGACCATAAGGAAATGGACACTAGGGAAAAGTGTTATGGGTCACTCTGTATAGTGTTGCAGGCAGCCTGAGTTAGATAGAAAATTGTAGGGAGTTAGACAGGGATAGGCCCCCAAAGGAGATGACAAAGACCAGATACCTTACTGGGGGGATGTTCCTGGTGTGAGCCAGACCTAAAGATCAAACAAATGCTGACCTCCCTAAAGTTGGCATCCAGGATTGCTCATTAGTTGGGAAGAATCATAGACTGAAGGCCACCAGACAAGGTCCCAATTTACATTCATGCCTGCTTGCTACGTGACTCGCTACCCCATTTGGTCCTAGGCCTAATAAATTTTACCTGAGCAATGGTACTTGTAATCCCATTGGTTGACCATAGTTTTGTCCCACCTTGTATCCATCTAAATGAGACCCCTTTGTCTCTACCTTAGCCCCGCATGGTTTTGCCCTATAAAAATAACCTGAAAGAAACAGCTTCCCGGGTAACCCACTCGGGCCCCCCTTCTGTCCCTCTCTGACAGAAGCTTTCCTGTCCAATAAAGTTTTACCCTCAACCTCCGTTTGTTCCTAAAATTCATTCTTCAGTTTTAGAGAACATGAACTCATTCAGACCAGGTTGGGACTTTCGCGTCCCTATATCAATAGGAACCAGATCAGTCAGATAGAAATTTGAATAGAGCCTTTTGTTTACTGAGCTCAGGTCTGTCAGCCATTTCTCATGCTGGAGAAGACTGATCAGCACCCAAACATAGGTAGCAGGGGGGTATTTATAACAGAAATCACATCCAGTTTGGTAAGCAAGTTTGTTATCTAGCACAGAACAATAGAAAACTATATTTCTTTGACACAGTTGCAAACTGTAACTAAAGGGTCTTTTATAGCTTTGTGATAAGTGTATATTTTTATAATGTACATCTTAAACTGACCATGTTATAGGAGATGGTTAGGGAGGGAGTTTGTTTTAGCTTGTTGCCTTGACAAGAAACAGTTATTTATTGTTAAACAGCCTTAAGCTGAGAGGGAGAATATATTTTTTAGAGTAGATAACACAAAGCACAAGGGTTTTTTAAAATAATTTTCTACAGTTAAGGCACAAATTTTGTTAACCCTTTACAAAAAGAAAATGAAGCAAAAACTACCAAAATGAGATCCTCTGTCTCGAGAACACCCCGAGGCCATATATTCATAGATATTCCCAACCCCGAGTTACACCGTGCCTCACCTCTAGAGTACCCATATGCACGCTTTTTCTCTGAGAGTGTGCATTTTAATTCTCCCACTCAAAATTATCCTTCGTACAGATGCTTCCTAACATGCTTTTGTGCCACAACAAGTCAAGAAGCTACCCAGGTGAGTTAGGGTCTCCATTGGTTAGGGGCATCTACTCAGAACCTGACTGGGGATACCAGGACATGAATGAAGTCAGTTTCTTCTTTTATGTGGACTGTGCTCCAAAATGTGATGTGTAATCTCTGTATAAATCTCTGAGAGATTTGCACAATCTGCAAATTATCTTTCATTTTTATTTTCATGTTTGGGGTGCATACAGTGCTTTTCCTTACAAAGAGAGGCACATAACAAATATGCTTGTTGGGTGGATATGCACTATGGAGAAAAGTAAAGGGGGGATGTTTGGATGTGGGTATTACATTATGGGTATTACTATTATAGTATTACAGTTCAGAAAGATCTCACCGAAAAGGGCCATTTAAAATAGTGACCAGTGACTGGAGACTTTGGAAGCAAGTTCTGGGAACATTTGGGGGAGCAGCACTCCAGGCAGCAGTGTGGTTTATGTACAGTGGAGGTTATTCATATCACCGTTTTGTTTTGGGGCAGTGAATCAAGCCCAAGGATTTTTACCTACAAGGCAAGCACTCTATCATGAGCTATATCTTTTTAAACTCATTCAGCTAAAAGACTATTACTCCTATCATATAAAATCTGCAACTCAAGAATAATAAGAAAATCAGTCTAATTCAGCAAGGTGCAATTGAACTGACCCTTTATAAATGCTACACGAAAGCTCCCCTCAGCTATGAAACAATTCTCAATTTTATTAGTCTGACTGGAAATGCAAATTAAAAACAATGACAGAATACTCCACACCTATACAATGACTAAAATGCAAAGTGCTGTCAAAGTCTTGTCAAAGACATGCAACTAGATCCTGGAATAGTGCAGTGCTGAATGTACAATGATATAACCATTTCAGAAAAGATCCAATCTATTGAAAAATAATAAACATACCCTTAGCCTACCCAACAGTTTTTCTTCTTGTGATTCACTCAGGAGAAACACAAATATCCAAGCAAAGCGTAGATGAAACAGTTTTGCTGTGCATTGGTTATTAGTGGGCCAGAACACACCCATACCCACACCCACACACATGATTAGAGGTAGGCAGGGAGGCACCATAGCAGCCTGAGATTCATTGAGAGCTAGTTTCCCAAGATCCAGGAAAGCTGTTGGGTAGATGGAAGTTCATCAGCACATGCTGCATTCCTACCTTAGCTAATGAACCCCTGCAAAGCAACCCACCCTGGGATTTGTTTCCCTCAAGGCGGTGACATGACATGTTGTGCTGAAGCATTAAATGATGTCCCATGACTAGGGGGCAGTGGAGCAGAGCCTGGCTATTCTGCCTAGTCCCTCTTTATCAGAAGCTATTGTATTTCTAGCTGTAGTTATCCTGGAAAACCATAGTGAAAGGGGACAGAATTGGCCCAGGCCAAATGTTGTCACCTAGTTCCTTTCAAATGGCTTGCCAAACTATAGTATTCTAGGTCTTTCTTGTCTTGAACAAAGATTGGACAAAACAAGTCAAAAATGGTGCCAAAAGTTTATTTCAAAGGTGAGTTCTGAAAGGCTAAAGGAAAGGGCAAAAGCAAAAAAAGAAGTACACTTGCATCTATGAGATGCAAGGTTGGTTACCAGGAGGAGTCCAGAGAGTGAGCTCCTGGTGGCATCTGTGTCCTTAAATGTAGTCCACACATCTGGTGACCCAGGAGAAATTCTACATACTGGGTCCTGGCATTGTCCTAGACAGGCCTTCTCCCTTCTCTAGCCAGCTGGGCCATATCCTACCTCCCGTGCCATAAGGTCACTCCAAGAACTGTCCTGCTGCACATACAATCTTCAACTGGCAAGTGGATAAGCAAACCATAGTATAAACCATAGAATAGAATATTATGGACTACAATTGAATAACTCAGCAACAAAAGGGAGTGAACGCTTCATCTTCTCAGGGACATGGATGAATCTCGAAAACAGTACACTAAAGAAAGAGGCCAGAATTGGAAGGCTACATCCTCTGTGTTTCCATATAGATGACATTGTAGAAGAGGCAAAACTACAGGGACAGAAAACATTAGCAGGTGTCAGGGCCTGGGGCATATGATATGGTAAACTGGGTGGTAATTTTGGGAGGGGGTACTCTATATTTTGATTGTAATAGTAGTTGCAAACTTGCATGTTTGTTAAAACTCATGAACAACAAAAAGTGATATTATTTTTAAACCTCAGGCTGGGGAAATAACTCTGTGGTCTAAGCACCTGCCCAGAAAACTCAAGGACCTGGGTTCCATCCTGGATCCTGCATGCCATGCTGACCCCGAGTGCTGCTCTGGCCACCGAAACTGGGTGTGATGATGCACATGTGTAATCCCAGTGCTGGGGAGGCTCAGACAGACAGGAGGATCACTAGGAGTCTAAGCTGCAGAGTAAGACCCTGTAAACATGAATAAATAAGAGATTTTTTAAAAACCCTTATTTTTAAACCTCATAAGCATCACTGGCAAGTTGGTTTGAAACATCTAATTTGACAAA